AAGCAAGCCATCGGATGTAGTTTTATACTTATATAAATTCATATTCATAATTTGAAATTATGTTTAAAAACCTTTTCAAGCAAACGTTAAAGAAGTTCTAATAATGAGAATGAAGAAATAAACTTATAAGTTTATCATATTTAAAAATTAATAATAGAGTCTAAATTTTAAGTGAATGAGAAAGCTTACTGAAATAATGTCATATGGAGCGCTAGTAAAATATATAATGAATTGCCAAACGATATTAAGATGACCAATGATGACGATGAATTTAAAAGAAAAATAAAGAAATATTATAAGGAAATTGAAGACAAAGAAGACTGAAGAGTTATATAAAGATATTTTAATTATAATAGATATTATATCAATAAAATAGTCAAGTGAAATGTATATAGAAAATTTGAAAACTGTTTTTATAATCTCTCATATCAGGCACCTCTGTCTGTATGAGATATGAAAATAAGGTATATATATATAAATAAATAAAAAAAAAAATATAATCAAATAAATAAAAATCTGAGTAAGAGTCAAATTCTAAGCAAGGTAGACCGCAAAGCTGGGCTTAGATATAATTTAGCTTCGCCCTTTTGGTTAAAAATCTAATTAATATTACATGTTTCATAGTTATTAGGTATTACAATAACCATAACATAAAATTATCAATCGATATTTGTAATGACACGCGAGACCACCGTATCACAATCGAAATCCTGAGCATGAAATCTTCGCAACCGAAGTGTCACATACTAAAATCACACATACACTTAAAATATTATCTGCATCTTAGACGCACATTAAATAAATCAGAAAATTCACACATATTATTATTACATAACACTGTTGATTCGGTTACTTCGTAAAGTTATTGTTTGCAATGTCTTTTATGGTAAAAAGTTTGTTTTTCTAATTTCGATTTTCGCAGTAGCGAATGACACAATGGAGTTTCCGAACGCCTGTGTAGCTACGCAAAGAATGTGGCATTGATGTAAGACGGGTTGAACAGGGCGCAAGCGCTCTGGACGTTTTGGGTGTGGAGGGATTCTCAAGTTTAGATGGTGCCGATTTTGGGACAAATTTATTTATTGTAAAGTGGCAATATTTTTTTTGAAATCCGGAAGTTGGGAATTAAGTTAAGTGACTTAAATATGATTTTGAAATATTTCTTTGTGAAAAATTATACGTAACTAGTTAGTATTAGTATTTAGCCTTGAGGCAAGTTACATGAACTTCCCGATATGTGTAAATAATCGACTTAATCAATAATAAACAAATTAATTTAAGAGTGATTACAATTATTCCGAGAGGATTTGTTACACATAATTGAAAACGAAAGAACACGTTAACTCGGAGTATTTTCTAAAAGCAAATTTTCACGAAACACTAATTTTTATAATTGAACCAGTTTTCGTAGGACCTTAATGGTTTACTATGTTCAAGACCAAGTACACTATCGTTATACCAACTAAATCATCTAATTTTATTTTTAACAAACGTCAAAAAGACTACTCATTTTCTCCAACTTTGATAAATTTTTAAAATTAAACGACTTGTCGTAAAGCCGTAATAATTCAGTAAGTTCTATAAGACCATGATATATATCGGCTAAAAAAGTTCCATAAAAATAGGCCTAAATTTATTTTTCAACAGTTAATTAAAGAAAACGGCTCGGTAGATTTTCACCTAAAACTAATCAGTATCATTCCCAACTAATGTCTTTCGAAAAGTTTTTTATTTTTAACTTCCTGTAGGGTCAGTTATTGTAATGGGCCGAAAATCGAAATTGAAAATTTTTACATTTCTCGACGTTTTGAACGTTTCTGAACATTTTGGCATACCTCAGAAAAAATGGATATGTGTGTGTGTGAGTGTGTATGTATGTATGGATATAATTTTTCGTACACGTTTTCGGGCGTACGGATCAACCGATTTGAACGGTTCAAAAAACATTCGATTTCTATTGATAGGGAGATGTGCTGATTAGTTTTTGGCAAAGGCAGGTCCAGCGGTTACGGAGATAATGAACAAAGAGTGCAGAAAATAGAAATCGAGTTTTTGAGAGAACGAAGCATCCGATTTGCATGATTTAAAAAACATTCAATTAGTAATGACGGGGAGAAGTGTTGAATAGTTTTTGGCAAAGGCGGATCTAGCGGTTTTGGAGATACAGAGCTAAATGTGCAAAATATGGCAGTTTTTGAGAGAACTAAGCGTTCGATTTGAATGATTAAAAAAAACTTTCAGCTTGTGTTGACAAAACAATTGCTTTTGGAAAAAAAATTAAATTCAATTTTTTTTTTCATATACATATCGAAAATAATTCAGATTTCAAATTTAATTCTGGCTAAAGTTTTAAAGCTCACTTATATACTTTAAATGAATATTTTTACTATGTGATTCAGTCAAGTTATAGTGATCGCAAAAAAATCGAAAATGAAAATTTTTATATATCTTTACGTTACAAAGGTTTCTGAATATTTTGGCATACCTTTGAAAAAATGGATGTATATGTGTGTGTGTATGTGTATGTATGTATGTACGTGTGCGTGTGTTTGCGGATACAAATTTACGTCGACGATTTATGGAACACCGATCAACTGATTTGAATATTTCAAAAAACATTCGATTCGTATTGATAAGGAAACATGCTGATTAGTTTTTGGCAAAGGCAGGTCTAGCCGTTTCCAAGATACGGGGCAAAATGTGCCGAAAACGGTTACTCCGTTTTATAAGAGAACGGGGCGTCCGATTTGAGTAATTCAAAATACATTTTATTTGTATTGACTAAATGAAGAACTGTTCAAATTTTTGGAAAGGCAGGTCCAACGACTTTGGAGAAAAAGTAAAAAAATGAGCCATTTGGCGGTCAAAAATGAACATTAGACATATGCACATCAAATTATCAGATATTTTATAGAGATTTTAACATTAAGTATAATTTTTGTTTACATTCCCATAAGTTCCATACCAATGTTTACGCGTTAGACGGCGACGCGGCGCTTACGCGCTTTGATATTTCGTCTTTATGCAGTTAAAGCAGTACGATTGCTTTGAATAAAAGTTCAGAATTTCCAAAATATTTCAAAATAAATGATTTAAAATAGAATGATTTAATATGGTTCGAAATTCTATTAAAAATGTGGAAATCAGAGACTGTTTCGGTCTAATAGGGATGTACGATCACCTCAATCGTTAGGTGTCAATCGTAGTTAAATATTTCTAAGTAAAAAACAATTTGAGGAGCAGTTAATCTGTAACCTTCAAACAAAAATTACAGATAAAGTCGTTTCGCTTCTTTTAAATGTTTCTTTAGAAAAGTCGTTCTAGGAAATGACGGACAATTCCATCCTAACTACTACTCTACAATGTCTGTTACAAACTTCATTAAAATTAAAACTTAAAAAAAGAACAAGATAAATTTTCCTATAAAGATATTTAAAGAAATGCAATATGAAATTCTACAATGTCTGTCACAATCTTTATTGAAGTTAAAACTTAAAAAACAAGATAAAAATTTCCTATAAAGATATTTAAAATAATGCAACATGAAATTCTACAATGTCTGTCACAAATAGCGAAAACGCTAAAAGAGAATGTCGTTCTAAACCAAATAGAGGAGGCTGAAGAGAATCAAGGAAATAATTGAAATTTTCAAAATTACTAAAACTAAATATATCAGTTATATATTTAGTTAGAACCAGTGGCGTCGGAACCACTGGCTGAGCCCACCCATCAATCTCAAAATATGATATTGTCTAAAATGCCTAAAACATAGAGAACACTCATCAAAAATTTGCTTCCGATACCACTGATGGTTAGAACCATATTAGTATATTGTCTAGGGTTAGAACTCAAAGAACAAAATAAACAACTCCTATCAATATTTTCAAATCGTCGCAATATGAAATACGGCAAAAGTAAAAATAAAGTGTCAAGCACCCTATCCGACTTATCTTACTAGAAAATGGCTCCATTGTTCTGAAAAATTTGCTGTAAAATAGCGAAAACGCCAAAAAAACAAAATGTCATTATATGTGGATTCCAAAAAAAAAATTAGGAAATCACTTAAAAAGAAACAAGAAAGCAATTGAAGTTTACAAAACCACTGAACGACTTATTCTTAAAAATGAGCATAACACAAGACAAATTGTGAATTTTGATTTTTGAAAAAATAAAACTGATATGAACACTGTATGGAGTGCTACTAAACTATTTAAGGGTCTCCCAAAAGCAATCAAGATGGCCGAAGAATAGTATAAATTCAAAGATAAATGACAAACGTATTATGTATAGATGCTTTTTATGGTCTTTTATACCAGACACTTCTGCCTGAGATATACAAAATGTATTAAAATTGCAAAAAAAAATTGATTAATATCAAAAGCGATATAGATTTAGAAACACTGTATGCGAAAATATTTTCCTCGTAAAAGCATTGTTTCGAGAGCAACCAACACGCCTAGATCAGTAATGTTTAAATAGAGAATTTTATATGAAATATTAATTTGCCTTATTTGTCGCGGAAACTCTAGATTAAAGTATCAGATTGTTACAAATTTGATTACAAACCAATTGTAAATTATACCAACTGGGTATACGAGTACATAACGTATATTAAATTACTAATCCGTTCAATATTTGCAACTACAGGTTGTGATCCAAATTAGGTTTGACATTTGCAATATTTAGTGAAGTAAAACAACAATTTGTTGTACTTACCTTATTACAACGGTTGTTTTTTATGGCCACGGCCCTGTATGCAATCGTAAAGTCCATTTTAATCATTAATACACATCCGACATTGTTCATTTTCAACACATCACAAACACATCTTAATTAAAAGCCGACTAAACTAACACTGAACTCAACAATTTAATTTGTTTAACGGCTAGTGAGCAACTTCAAGTGCGAATTTGAAATTTTAAATAGTTCTCAAATACTCAATCTGGCAATACTTTTGAACATTGCGTTTGAATTATTGCATACCTGGCAACACTGCATTAATTTGATGTTTCAAAAGTGTTTGTTTCTGCTGTTTCATTCCGGCCAAATATAATTTTTAATAGTTTTGTGAATAACTAATAAGTTTATAATATTAAAATGAGTTCAATTGGAACAGGGGTATGTTTTATATATCATATTTTGTTACCTATATAGTTAAATGATAGTACATTTTTTTACATAGTCATCTAATTTAGAGGTTATATATTTATTATTGTATAATTTGAACATTATTTTAAATACAAAAATATTTAAAATAATAAATTATACACTTTACATATTATTTATAAAAAACATATTCATCAAACGTTAGATTCATATATTTATGCGGAAAAAGTTATGTTACACTTTTTATTAAATCTTAATTAAATACATCACTTGCAGTACTCTGTGCGCAATTTAGAACTTTTTATATATGTGAAAATACTTATTTAAATGTCTACAAATATATGTGTATATATATGATGTGTATTTACTATTGAACTAAATTTAGTATTGTACTTGTCAGTTATTTGAACCTTCGATTATTATGAAGATTACTGATATTGTTGGAAACTAGTTATTCTCTGTTGTTAACTGTTAGTTTTAAATATCTTTTTCCAGTACGATCTCTCAGCATCCCAGTTTTCACCAGACGGTCGTGTGTTCCAAGTGGAATATGCAAATAAAGCAGTAGAGAATAGTGGAACGGCAATAGGTCTCAGAGGGAAAGACGGTGTAGTGTTTGCTGTTGAAAAATTAGTTACAAGCAAACTCTACGAACCAGGAACAAATCCCAGAATCTTTAATATTGATAAACATGTTGGAATGGTGAGCATCATAATAGGATTGAAATTAGTAATATATTTAAAAGGTGCTAATAACATGTTTAAAAGTAATCATTTTAAACTGAAGACTAATTCAGGCGTTAAACTAGTAAAGACTAATTTCTGAAGATTACTTTTTATAAAATACTAATAATACTACCAAGTAATATTATTTTTAATTAATTTCTTTATCATATTTTACAAGATCGTATACTATATATCAATATAATCACATTTTAATATAATGAATTTACAACAATATATTTATTCCTGTTTTTAAATGAATTTTTCATCTTTTTAGGCAGTTGCTGGTCTGATCTGTGATGCCCGCGAGATTGTTTCTGCAGCTCGAAGTGAATGTAAATCATATGTTTCTCAATATGGTGTTTCTATTCCTTTGAAATTTCTAACAGAAAGAGTGGCTGGTTTGTTCCACACATATACACTTTACTCAGCTGTCCGGCCATACGGATGTGCTGTATTATTGGGAAGCTATGAAAATGAAGAACCAGTTCTGTATGCTTTAGATCCTTCCGGTGTAACTACAGTAAGTTTGAAAATGATCTTTTCAATAATGTAGTTTTGAGATTTTGATTCTCGTGGAGTAGCTACATTGGGTTTGAAAAGGATATAGTCGATCATATATTACATAAGTTATAAGTATTTTTATTTTATAAGAAGATATTTTCTTTAGCAATATGTTAGTAATATGAGCTTTCATGTGTGAATCAAATTAAATCAAATTTTTCTTTTAGGGTTGTTACGGTTCAGCAATTGGCAAAGCTAAACAAACAGCAAAAACTGAAATAGAAAAATTAAAATTATCTGAAATGACATGTAAGCAATTGGTCAAAGAAGCAGCACGAATGTAAGTTAATATTTTTTTTAGCTTATTTAACTAAAAATAGTTTATCAATGATGTTGCATTTTGTTTCAACTATTCAAATTAGCTTATTATATTAATACTCTTTACTGCTATGTTAAATTTAGATAAATATTTTTTTGTGTTCAAAATTGAATTTGAATTGAGAATTAATTAAAACTACAATCATAGGAGAAAATATTGAAATTTGTGATTTACTAAAGTCACTTGTATATTATGCATGAATAATAATATATTTCCATTTTATGAAGTATATATTTAATATAAAATTAAGAAATAATTATATAAGATTTAAAGAAATTGAATTATCATTTTGATATTTTTTACAGAATTTATTTAGTGCACGATGAGTTAAAAGATAAAAATTTTGAACTTGAATTGAGTTGGGTATGTGCTGAAAGCAATGGAGTTCATGAACGAGTTCCTGCTAGTGTTAGGCAAGAAGCAGAAAGCCAGGCGAAACAGGTATTTATAGACATAATTCTGCTAAAAACTATTGATGATGATATTTTTATTTTATCTACTGAAATAAAATATCGTTATTATATGAAATTTGAAATCTTTTAGGCAATGGAAGATGACAGTGACAGTGATACAGAGGATAATTAAAAATATATTAAAAGTGCTTGCTTGACTTAATTTTATATTAAAAAAATATCCTTTATATTTGCATTTTTATTTACTTGTTCAATTTTGAGATAAAATACAGTACCATCGCCACTTATCATCAATATTAAAATAAAATATGTGTAGAATATTTTGTACCTGTATAAACTGTTTATTTATGTTCTTGGCATATTTTTGATTGGTTTTGTTTAATATATTATTACTCATCACACATTTATAGTAATTTACTATAAATGTGTGGTACAAAAATGATATTTTCTTTTGCCGAAGAATTGTATTTTTATATAAAGAGGATTATTATTATGAAAAGTGAAGAACATAACAAATTTCTGACGAGACAAATTTCATATAAATTTACCTGAGTAAAAGTTGATATTTTAATGCAATTCTCCATTTTTACTAAATGGGGTTTATGATATTGCTTTATATCAGAATGAAGTTTACATTTTTCAATTGATACTGATTTTTGAATAATTGTGACTTATAAATCTTGATTAATAGTGCTGAGAAGGATATTTAAATGATTTACATGTTATTTTATAGATCTTTGATTTTTAATTTTTAACACAATATTTAGCTGAGATATTACTGGTAACTTAACATTGGTCAAAAGTAACTTCTTTTTTCAAACTCACTTTTGGTCATAAAAGATATTGGTAAAAATTGATGTTATTACAAATAATTATTTTAATTAATAATTAACAATTAAATTCATAATGGTCCTAGGCCATATTATTTATGACAAATGGCATTAAATAATTATTTGTTATTGCATAAAAATGTTGAAATACATTTTTGTTTTATATATTCTCAAATAAGGATGTATTCAAACATTCCTAACATTCAATCAAGCTACAGAAGCATATATATAATTTTTTTGTGGAATAATAATTGAAACATTATGATCAAAATACCTTTGTTATTGTATATATTTTCATGAGTTCTATAATGCGATACCAGTTACCAATTTTTGTTTTGTATTATTAGGTTTTGGATTAATTTTTGATTAGCATCATTCGAAAGCCCACACATTTTTTTTTATACTTATCAAAATTTTGTTTTACCTTATCTGGTCCAAAAACATTGAAAAATTAGAAAAGCTATAACTCTTAACAATCCTTGCATTTGTAAACTTTTATTAAAAACTATATATATATATATATATATATATATATATATATATATATATAATTTTACACATTGATATGGTTATGGTAACACAAATAATGGTTGTATTCAAACATTCCTAACATTTAATCAAACGAATGATGGAAGTATATAAAATTTTTTGTGGAATAATAATTGAAACTTTGAGATATAATTAACTCCCTTATTGTTTTATATTTTTATGTTATATATAGTTCCTGCAATTTTTCATATGCTTAAGATATTTTGTCATCTTGTTCAATAGGGCCTTTTGGCTTTGTCGTTTCAAGCTAAAAATTATATTTTACTCATTCAAAACTTACTTATCTTCGAAGAGACTATGTTTCTACTTTATATATCAATTCACTTCTCACTTTAATTCAAAGAATAAAGAAGATATTAAAAAACATTTACATATTCGGAGGTGTGCAGAGAAAAAAGCAAATTGTAGAAAAGTTTAATGAATTGGAAAATGTTTTAGTGGGATGCCATCATGAAGCATTAGCTTTAAAATTGTCCATAAGTGCGAAAAACGTGTGAAATTGCTGATGAATTACAGATTACTGATTTTGAAGCTCCAGATAGCTGTGAAGATTGTTTTAAAATTTGAATTTGGCGGCACATCGGAGACACAACAAGATATTCTTTTATTGGTGGCAGCACTTACCGAAATATTGCTAAATAACGTTATTGCTGAATAACGAACCGCTCGACATTTTAACGCTGATTTTTTAACTTAATGCCACACAAATCAAACGTTTTCTAGAAAGAAACTTGTCATGATGAATAATAAAAAGTGTAACTAAAGACTGTTTATCCTGACTTGTGATGTAAATGAAAAGTGGCATTTGCTGGCGACTGCCAGACGCGCTGCAAAAGTTGAATTGTGTTGAAAATTATTGTAATTGCTGATGCATCAAGATTACTCAATTGCAATTAATGGAATACAATTATATGTGCAAATGGATTGTTCATGACGAAAATGTGTGATTTTTTTATTTAAAAGTTTTTGACGGTGCCGATAGACGGATGACACGGCGGAACAAAAAACTAAAGGAAACAATTACAACAAATTGGTAACAGTATTGGCAATTGAAGGTATGTCATTATTATACATGATTTCTTAGATATTTGTACATTTTCAAGTGCAACTGAAACTTGTCTATATAATACTATGTAAATAATTATATTTAATGTCAATCGGCTTAATTTATACTGTTCAATTTATATAGAAACATAACGTAATGTAATTTAAGCAAACAACCACATGTAAACACCCGTAAGTCCACTTTGATTATCAGTATTGTATTTTTAGATTGAATTTCTTTAATCTATATAAAAAGACAATACTGACATTAAATATTTTTTCAGAATAAAACTACGCTCCTCATTTTATTTTTATTCAATGCTTGCATGCCATTTTTATTTTATGGTCATGATCTGTCAAACTCCCACATCATTCCCCCCGCAAACAAGTTCTAATTATTATTCTTTTTAACAATATTAATGAATGTATTTTGCAGATATGTAATTTAAAAAGTTTAAGTTCAGGCACAGTATGTTGACTACCAAAGCCACCTTGTTCATGGGACTGTTCAATATATACTTTTTTGTAGTTTTTGAAGTCTGCACGATACGATTTGTCTTAGTCCTTGTCTTGGGCATAACAAGTTGATTGTTCAAGTATCTTTGGGTGATTCAAATAAACCATTTACCGTCTTATTATAATAATATCAATAATTTGCTGTCGTTCCTTTATAGATTATTAAAGTTTCTGAAGTTTGCACAATGCGATTTGATCTTAGTGCTCATCTTGGAAATAACAAATTGATTTTTTCAAGTATTTCAGGATTTTGAATTAAACCAATAACTGTCTTTGAAAATATGTACAATAATTTGCTGTCATTTGCTTAGATTATTGAGGTTTTTGAAGTCTGCACAATACGATTCGGTCTTAGTTCTTGTCTCGGGCATAACAAATTACTTTTTTCAGGTTTCCCAGGTTATTCAATTAAACCATTTACTGTCTTATAAAAATAAGATCAATAATTTGCTGTCATTTCTTTAGATTATTGAAGTTTTTGAAGTCTGCTCAATATGATTTGATCTTAGTCCTTGTCTCGGGCATAATAAGTTGATTTTTTCAAGCATCTCAGATTATTCATTTAAACCATTTATTGTTCTATGAAAAATTTGCTGTCGATTGTTTAGATTATTGAAGTTTTCAAAGTCTGCATTATATGATTTGATCTTGGTCTTTGTCTTGAGTTTAACAAGTTGATTTTTTCAAGCATTTCAGATTATTCAATCAAATTACTTACTGTCTTATGAAGATAAGATCAATAATCAGCTGTCGTTTGCTTAGATTATTGAAATTTTTGAAGTCTGCACAATATGATTTGATTTCAGTCTTTGTCTTGGGCGTCTCAGGTTGATTGTCCAAGCATATAGTGTGATTCAATTAAACTATTTACAGTCTTATGAAAATGAGATCGATAATTAGCTGGCCTCTGCTGGCTTTGCGGTTCTGAAAAATTCTATCACTTTTGTGTAAGTTAGAAAATAAAGAATTTTGATATGTTTCGGTTCTCTGCTACAAACTAAGTAAATTGTTATTACCAAATTTAGTCTATTTTATTACCAATAGTTGTTAATAAAATAAACTATATATTGAATACAAATAATTACTATAACAATTTTGCTTGTGCCTAGACCAGTTACATTCATAACTCAGTTTTCAAAGTTATTGTACTACATCTATTGAATTATCGCATTACTGAATATGATTAATAATTTATTACTTTATTGATGAGTACATTTTTCAAAAGTCCACTTGTATAAAAAATTTCTTTATTTATATATAATGAGTAAATCACATCCTTATTATACTACACTCTTTAATTTACATCAAAACTTAAAATATGACAAACAAACTTTGGTATTATATATAACAAAATTATCGGAATATGTATTATCAACATTTTACTAATCTTTACTTTCATTAGGTGCATTTTTTAAACTCCAAATTTTCTTAATCTAGCAGGCACAAGTGTACAAAAAAATAAAACAAAATTAGGTAACAATGATACCTACACAAAAATAATTATTCTATAACATATTGATAACTTAACACAATTATATTATTTCAAATATTAAAATTAAACTTAAATCTATTAGATTAGATGAGTTATTTACGAACTCGCATATTGCAGGAATTGGGTCTTGATCCAGTCTCGGTTATAGGGTTTGTACACATTTAATCCAGGTTGCTTTAGGAAAATATTTATGTCAAACACCTGCAAAGTAAAAGAAATCATTTTTTTTTGCACTGAAAATTGTTTTGCAACATATATTCTGAGAAGTTCTTGGTCGAGTTTGTCATTTGAATGTTACATAAACAAATGTGAACTAAGAAGTTGTGGTATATAATCAGCTAGGAAGCGAGTAAACTTATTAAAGTATTAATGCTAAAATTCTTTAATTCGATTATTTTCCTTACAGAGTAATAATTTCAAAGGTAAAAGCTTAAAGGCAACATTTTTGATTTGACAACAGATTTGTTGAGGAGAAACATACACTTTGTCTATTAGGAAACTGCATTAATGGCAAATTAGTGATTGTATATGAAAAGATTAGGATTACATATTACCTTATCAATGTAAGTACAAAGATTTTCATAGCCAATGCTAACTTTGTCACCCGAAGACTCAATATCCAAGTCTTCTGCACATTTTTTAAAAATGTAAATGATCAATTCCTTAGGCTCATTAAATTTTAAATAAGTTCTTGTTCTTTCATTAGGACGATATTGTATGAATAATATAATTTTATCCTGCAAAAGAGAATTGAAAGAATGTTTTATACTGTATACAAAATTATATGAATTTTTTTACTTCAGAATTTTAACTTGTTAAACTAACTAGTTTTTTGTTATATTATT